CCGGACTAAAAGAGGAAAAACAAAAAATATTTTTGCAGACAAAATTAGGTGGTCCAACTAATAGAGGGGTCGAATTGATAGAAGGATTACGGGAGTTGCTCTAGGACAATGCAAAGACCTTATTAGTTTTGGGTTAAAATCTATTTATATTAATTACCTAATTTACTTAATAATTCGTTTGCTTGTACATCAATATCTTAAGTTTCAATGAAGTTAAATATATAAATACTTTTAAGACAATGTGATAACCTAATTAGTTTTGGGTGTAAATACATACATAATAATTACTTATTTGAATAATAATTTACTTTTCGGACTAATTAATCATCACATTCTAATGAATCCCTGGTACATACGGAATAAATTAGACTGAAAACCACAGATGTACAATCAAATTTATTTATTATAATAAACTTTAATACTGTGGATCACATTGTTTTATGTTTAAATAGCAGACAAATACTAGTTGCCAAGTTTCTTGTTTGAAACGCTAATCTTCAATTTTGAATTAATTTTTAATATCCCTCCAATACTTTCAGCACACAGTCTTCCTAAGCATTCTTTCATTTTTATATTGTATTAATAACACCACTTATTGATATTTTCAGACGGGAATTTATAGACTTGTTGAAGAGGATGCTGACCATTGATGCAGACCAAAGAATCAATCCGGCCGAAGCCTTGAATCATCCATTTATAGCATTATCTCACTTAGCTGAATATGGTCATTGTCATGTGTATGTATTTCACCTTTCACCTTGTCAACCTCTGAGAGCATTTAATTGATATTTTTTAGTTACTGATGAACCCAAATTAATTGTGCAAATTTATCTTGTTTTCACTATTTTTAAATACTCTTAAAAAAAAATATCTAGAATATGGCATTGTATGAATTATGCAATTTGACAAATAATTTTTGCAAAAGTTAAATATTATGTAATAATATAGAGCAAAAAAAGTCTTCAAAGTCAGCAATAACAAAAATAAATGATATTTATAGAAAATAAAAGATGTGTTTAATTATATTGCATATAATGTGTTTAATTATATTGCATATAATGTGTTATTTTAACAGGGTGAAACAATCGGTACAGCATATGGAAGTGTGTCGTAGACCAGTACATATATATGACAACATCAATACTACAAGTAGCACATATACTAACTTTGTGCCTTCAGCTGTGGGCAATCTCAATATTACATTCAATAACCAAATAAATGCATTACATAACCAGGTATGTCACCATCATTCTCAACATTTACTATAAACAGTGCCCTCTAGTGGTGTGATTTTAAAATCTTAAATATGTAATTCCTCTTAATTCCAAATATATAAAAGAATCAAAATCTAGTTTTGTAGAAAATTTCACTGAAAAAATGTTAGCTAAATGCGAAAATTTGTTTGTTTACAGGCCACCACTACTCAAAGTATCAGTACCACTCGACCAGGGAATCCAGACTTCCCTTTTCTACAGTATCATCTACAGTCGGGACCTTACTTTCCATACCAACCACCACAGGTTGCTCAGCGACTGAGTCAACAATTACCACAGCCAGTACAACAACCGAGAAATGGAAGTCAGTACCCTAGGCCTGATCCTTTTCAGCAGGTATTGTTGTAATATTTTTTAGTAAATAATTAAATTAAGTTGTTTTCACCTCTACCTTCACAATCCACTCCACCCTCTCTGAAACATAACCTTTTCACCACCAGTTCCCTCTTTTCATCACCAGTTCCTTCTTTTCATCACCAGTTCCCTCTTTTCACCACCAGTTCCCTCTTTTCATCACCAGTTCCCTCTTTTCATCACCAGTTCCCTCTTTTCATCACCAGTTCCCTCTTTTCATCACCAGTTCCCTCTTTTCACCACCAGTTCCCTCTTTTCACCACCAGTTCCCTCTTTTCACCACCAGTTCCCTCTTTTCATCACCAGTTCCCTCTTTTCATCACCAGTTCCCTCTTTTCATCACCAGTTCCCTCTTTTCACCACCAGTTCCCTCTTTTCACCACCAGTTCCCTCTTTTCACCACCAGTTCCCTCTTTTCATCACCAGTTCCCTCTTTTCATCACCAGTTCCCTCTTTTCACCACCAGTTCCCTCTTTTCACCACCAGTTCCCTCTTTTCACCACCAGTTCCCTCTTTTCATCACCAGTTCCCTCTTTTCATCACAAATTCACAAAATAGTCTTCTTTATAGTCTGCACTTTCCTTTAGAGGATTGGAACAAAAATACCCAAATGTTTTGAGTAAAAACTGAAAATGGACTAAATTTTGTCTGTTGGCTCGAGGATGAGGGGTTAATTCAGAAATATTGAAGAATATAAAAAAAAGTGGAGAAAAATTTGGGTGGGAAAGTCTGGTGGTGAAAAGGTTAACATGCCCTGGACACTGTGTCTTTGAACTAGACCTGGCACAGGAGATCAACATAAATATTTTCAGTAAACAGATGGTTTGAAATGCATTTTTTTTTTTCAGTCCCTGGGAATGTCATCCTTTGTTTGTCCGCCCACTTATCAAGGAGTTCCATCACCAACGAAACATCCTTATCCTGTCAGAGTAGACAATCCGGTTCCTATGGTAACTCAAGCACATCACACAATACAAATACAACCACAAGTATTCACGCAGGTGTGTATGATTATTTGTCATTCATTTTTGGTTGATTGCTGTTATATAAAATGGTGTGCTCATTATCTCGTCCTTGTATTTGCAGACTTCCACGTTGCAGAACAGACATAACACGCCAGTATTAGCAGCACATGTGGGTCCACCTCCACCACAGCCTCAACCGCAACACATTACACTACCAATGTCTCTTGGCAGTTCAACTGGTACACCAGGGTGGGCTCCGGGATTTGTAGAACAAAACGGAGCTAGGGTTCAGAATGGAACTGTATACCTAACAGTAAGCAAAATTCTTGTTCTATCATATTGGTGTATTTTGTTAAGCAATAAGTTCTAAGCTGAGAACTAACACGCAACTCAATGCATAGCAAGTTTAATTTTCAACCTCAAATTCCCTCAAGCTTGCTGGTTTTGGTGATGGCAAGTTATGTAGTATCATTGGGATTAAAAGAAGATTTTTGATTGGTGAAACTATTCATTAACTTGGGGGGGGGAAGCAGAATAGTTGAAATAAAAATGTTTTATTGTGATAGATGCATCAAGTAAGTGCCACCCTAATTTAGGCAAGTTGAGGATAACTAATGGAGCATTTGAATTGATAGAGCTTTTACGAAATGTTAAGTATGCCTATCTGTCCATACTTCTTAGAATGCCCCGGTAAACTCATGGCCTCCAAACAGACAGCTGTTCCTATCACCATGGCAACAGGGAGCTTCGGCTGTACAACAACCGGTCATTCCAGAAACCATGGCTGCCACCCAGCCGATCAACGAAACGTGGAGACGGTCGTTTGTGACAGCAGCCCCAGTGACCTGGCGTGGCTCAGAGGACACTGGCTATATATCAGCCGAGCAGAGCCCAGCTTTGTTCCAGATGGATATTGCCGATGCCAGCCTGTATGATCATTTTGTTGACGCCAATGGGGTATGTACCCCTCCCCTGCTTTTGTCACCTACTCTTTTTAAGAAAGTCATAGATTATCATAAATTAAAAACTGCAATAAATCTGATGGGAATACATAATTCTTTTGGACCATTATAAATAGTATTGGCATCTTGAGTAGTAGTGTGCAATAATGCATTCAACGTTCTCTCCTATTTATAGTGCATGATGGGATAGCTATGCATGTCTTTACGGCTCAAATTCATCATTTATGCATTTTAACGTACTTGTTATCAGAAGAATAGAAATAGCTGTAAGCTTCCCATGTCTAACAATCATCTCAGCATTCTGGCTTGTCTTCTTTATAGAGGAGTGAGAGGAGTGTCAACTAGTTATAGTTAGCCTTCTGAGGGGCTATTCAACCATAAACTACCATACTTGTTCGACTTAGTGCCCAGGGTACTTGTGTTTTAGGGGATGTGCCCTTCGCTCTTAGCTGACAAAGTATGCACCAGATTGAAGGGAATATTACTCTTTTGGTGAAAATAAAATTGCAAAATTAGTTGCGTCATCAATGATTCCTGCAAAACTTTTACAGTGAAGAAACAGAAATGGTCACCAAAAATATGCACATGTTATTACAATATTAATTATGTACAACCAGAATTTATGTTAAAATTATTACGGTCTGTGGGAACACAGTCAAAATCTTCATTGTCAAATGTATTCAATCATAAGCAAACTCTAGATTCAAAGAAATAATGTTTTCTTGCACGTGCTTTTACAAGAGTCTATTAATTTAACGATCAAAATGATGTGAGTGCAGGTTTTATGACAAGAAAGTCAAATTTGGGAATTGGTGCTTAGTCGAAAGTGAGCCCAAAAACAGAAATGTTAGGGTTGGGCACTTAGTTAAGCATGGGTGCTGAGTCAGGCGAGTATGGTAGAAGCCTTGAGTTAGGCTATATGATTATATGTAGCTATATATCACAAACAGTAGAGATGCAATGTTATTAATGCCAGGTTGTTGTTCATTTACAGAGGCCACAGTTCAGTACTGCTTATCATCCTAGCTCAAGTCATGTGACACCCATGGTTGCCCTGGCAACTCAGCAACATCACCACCAAGCGCCGTGGAATCTTGGTTTGGTTCGACAGCAAAGTTTGATATCTCAACGTCAAAGGTCACACCATTCATCACGGAAAAACAATCCCAAGTAAGTGTTAATTCCAAAGTTTGATCCATGTTTTATTTATAAAATCTAACCAACCAGTGAAAATCATATACTTTTATACCTTCTTCACCAGCCAAGGTTTCGTTAATACAGCCTTTGCCCTTCACCATTATACCATGGCAGAATTCCTATTATAAACTGTCAATGAAATCAAACACAATGGCATGTGCTCTTATAAAGTTAGATGTGGTGATGCATTTCCATGGAAAATTGAACATGAAGTCGCTTGTTTTTTTCTGTTAAGCTATAACGTGATATAATATGACAAATTATACTAGTTTAAATTTGAAATTGATGTCAGTTGTTAACTGTAACTGTTAACTGATTGATATTTCAGCTTCTCTGCACTTCCAATCAAATTTAACTGAGATCAATTGCAGCTTTTCCTAACTCAATCATGCATATATTTGTGGCAACACCCATGGGTAGTTGGTTTCAGCAAAACTGTGAATTGGACAATGCTGAAGTGTCAAATATCAGTTCTGTAATGAAAAATGTTATTTTCATGTTTGTTTTTTTTCACAGAGCAACGTCTACACGAACATCATCAATGATAAATAGCTTATCACCACAGAAAAACAAAAGAGTTAAGGAAAACACACCACCTGTTGTTCAACCTCTAGTGACAACCGTTTCATCTACATCTATGAATCATAATCCATTATCAGGACAAAGTGGGAATGCATTGGTGGAGCCAAGAAGTAAGATGGTTGGCCTGCATAAATCTACGACACATGTCTCACCTAAAAATTCAAGTAGTTCGTACAGTAGACAACGTCAAACCATTGTTATAGCAGATTCTCCCAGTCCTGTCAGTATTATTACTATCAGCAGTGACAGTGAAGATGAAACTGTGACTCAGAAGAGGTGTGTTTCATTTTTATTTTTTTCTTGGTATTTCTGAGGGAGTATATGGGAGTACTGTATTACAATAAGTACATGACATTGATTGTATGGATAAAATGTGTTGTGGGCGCCTTTGATTTGGTTTTATGTTTCTATTGAAATTTGCAACATATTCACTTTGAAAACATATCATTGCTTCCATTTACATCTGTTGAATGTGTGTTTGTGAGAGAGAAAAGTATGTAAGTATTTGCATTCATATCTTCACATCTTTTGTGTGTTTATTTGCAGATGTCAAGATAAATCTTGTTCTGCTTGCAACAGCAGTGATATGGCTCATTCCTGCTCCCTGAGTAGTAGCAGTGTACTAAGCAGCAGTCCTGACAGTCGACCACACTCACAGTCGTCATGTTCAAGTTTCAGTATATCACCTCTGAAGGATGACGTTATCTCTGTACATCAACGAAAGAATGTTATCAGCTGTGTGACTGTCCATGATAGTCCTGAAGGGACACCTGAGAGCAGTCGACTTCTTGCGTTGGACGATGATTTGATTAAAATAGAATCTTGTACTAGTGTTGATCTGGATGTCAGGTTAGATTCTAAATGTCATACAAAACAGGAAGTATCCTCTGTGACGGTAGATACTCCTGTCACTTTAGACAAATCAGAGGATGTAGAACGAAAAATTGAGATAATTGAAAATAAGAAGGTTGCTCATTTACATATGGTAGACATTGCACCAGATGATGGTGGCCCACCTAGTCCTGAGTTTGTCATGAAAACTGATCATTATGGTAATACAACCAATGAGACGCACACAAGAAATACTATAGAACAGAAAGAAATTTCAGTTAGTATCCATGACAACATGAAGCCTTTGAAGACCGAACACCCCACTCAGTTGCCAGATTCAGGAGTTAAGTTTGTCAATCTTCCACCTTTAGAAGTTGATACATCACCGGGTGCATTGAGACAGGTTAAAAATCAAGCCAAAGCTACAAGTTTACCAAATATACATCACAGTCCAACACATCCACGTCAGCGACCGTCAACTCTCAATCTGCAGCAGAGCCCTTACCGTCAGAGGCCAACAATGGTGAACTTTGTGCCAAGACAGCAACCATTACCAGCTTTGACACATGCACAGTTAGCTGCTGCAAACCAGCCATCGCAGACAGTAACTGCTGATCGCAATGAACTTTACCGAAGACAGCCACCGTATGTCTCTCCTACAGTAACCCAGCCTCCATTCTCCCTTGTTCATGGAAACCCATCTCACAAAATAAATGCTCACTCACAAGTTCACCATCCAGTGACAGGGCCACTTGCACCCCACCAGTTTGTCCCATACCCATACCCTACTACAGCACAGGGAATGAACTCACCTCAGGGTGCAGGACTTCCACAGATTCACCAAAGTCCAAGGCATGTTCAGTACAAACCCACTTTGCCACCTCATATGCAACCTCAAGCAATGCTGCAGCCTACAGTGCCACATACTTCTCAGTATCGTCCTCTCTATATCAACTCTCCCACTGCAGGTGTTGCATATACATTGAGCCCCACAAAGACTCGACCATATCAGTACCTTTACCAGACATTTACTGGTGACTGACACCACTTTGAGCAGCCTGTCTAGCACTTACCCACAATGCAATGTTACAGGAAGTAATTGTTGGCCATATTGGTTTTTATGCGGCTGGAATTCTGAATATTAAGAAACTTATAATAATAACATTTTCTAGATATGTTTTGGAAATATTAATCTTAGATGTAAATAGTATAGAATATAAAGAATATAATGATTGTTTTATTGTGTGTTATTTAAACACTAATCCATAGAAAAAAGGTTAAATTCTGGTATTTTATTCCAAATATAATGCTATTTTTCAGGGGATATTTTGTGGGATATTTGAGACTCAAAGTGATCTTTAGTTGTTGGGGTCACTTTATGTATATGTGGGACATTGCTAATTTTTTGCATTACAGTGTATAAGTAGGAGCATTTTTTAAAAATTATTGAATATTATACGTTTTGTTATTTACTTGTGTTGTATTTTTGGGCAGTATTATTGTGACTTTAAAAGCCAGCATATAAATAGATTTGTGTATTGTTGTATACTCACTGTCTGTCAATTTTCTGAAGATTGGGCAGCACATCTAATGAGTATTAATATAAGGCATTTCATTTTAATTATCAGACTTCCTTAGTGGTGCACATTAGGATCAACCAAATTTATTTATCTCCACCATTCTTTCTCACTATTATCGTTTTTTAATAATCAAATGGTCTTCACAAATATACCAATTTGCTACCCACCTCTGATACGCACATGATGTACAGTTGATTTTGAATACTGAAGTCCAAGAGTGACTTACGTGGAGTGCATCGGTGCAATGCATGCACTCACATTGTCACAAAAATGGGAAATAGAAATTATCATAAACTTTAAATTGTGAAAGAAAAAAACACCATTGGTCAGAACAGTGCATCAGCTTGTTATTGTTTGGTTTTTTCTATTTCTCTTGGCATGATACTTAATTTAGTATGTGGCTTACTCAACTGTGTTAAACCTTGTTGCACCACTCAAGGAAGTTTTTTTTTAACTTTTAATATTTAATGTAGATTTTCAGGTAGAATTTGACTAACAATATGGCTAAGTTAGGATTGTTTACAGTGTTTCACTGAATGCCATGACTCAATAAGGTCAAACGCTTGATTTTTGACCTTGCCACACATTGTGTTTTATTTTATTAAAAATTGTTTTTGTTTTATTTTTACCTAGGGTGAATTCCAATTTCCAATGTATTTATTTTTTAATGACTCAAAAACAAAATACTTTAAATTTCTTTTTAGTTGGAATATACATCATAATAAAAATAATTAGTAAAAAGATACGTTATTGTTATAGTGCAAAAGAAGATAGTACTTGCTATATTAATTTAGTTATTAGGAATTGAGTAAAAATGAATGATATCAGAATCACGATAGAAATATAGATCACTGTTAAAGTTGTAATTTTGTTCTAGGCATCTTTAGATGAAAACTTGCAGTAGCCGAATACATTGGCTCTTTCTAGATTGCTAATTTTTTCACAGTACTGTACTGAGTTTTACTTATGCCTTGATGTTTATTATAAAATAATATTTAAACTTGCATTTCTATGCATTGCTATCAAGTTTATAAGGATACGTACTAAATAGTCTTAAAAATACAGTTACAAAAGTCCTATTTTTCAAAATTAACTCCAAGGAAGGTATATTTTTTGCCTTCTTTGTATATATTATATATCTATATATCTTTATGAACTGTAAGCATGTACTTGTGTTCAAATTATGCTCATTGGGACAATTGTTTGGTTTTAATCGTGTTAAATTGAATATCAAATGAATTAGACATTGTTATTTTCTTGAGAAATTTCTACTAATATAGCTAATTGAATACTTTTTATTGATAAATTGTATACATTTTCACAAAATAACATTGGAAATTAACTACTTGTTTGTTACATATATCTGGCAATACTAGAATCTGTCTTAACTATTATAGAGTATGACCTGTTGTGCAAAATTATTTTTGCAAATATATTTGCAATAAGAACAATTTATCTTGAATTTTTTAGGAAAAGTTTTTTCCTCAATTTTTTTTAGTGATTAAGCAGTGGAGTGGAAATTTGCATAACAATATTTGTATGTGTGTTTGGGTTGTAATTTCTCCAGTAATTTTACTTAGTTGTAATTTGGTACTTATGTAATATTTTAAGTGTGTTGTTACAGTACATATATTATACATATCTTTTATTCCAGTGTTTTACAATGTAAGTATTTCGCCATTTTACGAGGCAAACAAAATAACTGTTTTACGTGTGTCTTCGATTTTTGTGAGGTTTTACATATTTTATAGTAAGTATTGTTATTGAAAATCACAAAAAGTGTTCAGGAATGTGGGGTTCAACTGTTGTCTGCATTGCTGTAGAACAAAGAATTCTGAATTATCCTTTTCCAAGGCCACTTTTCTGCATGTCGTATTTTAACCAGATATGTAGTAGGAGGGATGCAAAGCACAATGCTTATTCCAACCATTTTGTGATAACCTGTGCAGAGAACAGTTGAACTCACATTGAGTGTTACCTTTTTGTAGAAATTTTAGATAGAGGTAATTCGGTGCTGCCGATAGATACCATCATAATTAGAAGTCTGTCGGGTAAATCATTTTGTATGGGAGCAAAACATGTTCTGTCTTTTGGAAAAAAAATAGTTTGACTTTTGAATTTGTTTCTGCTATTTGTGTAAGCTTGTTACCATCACACAATTCAAACTTTGAGGGCATTCACATTGATGTGTCAGCTCCTACACCAAAACGTAACATAAATAATTAGCCAAAACAATGTTTGTGTGAAAATGTCTATAAAGCAATTACTGCGATGGTAGCATCCATTTTTTCCCATTACAAATACTACTTAGATACAGAAATTTATTAATATTTTGGGGATTTTGCAGCACATTCAATTTTTGTGGAACACATCCAGGTAGATATATAAATTGAAGACTTCATTTGTTTCGTGAGACTGTGTAGCATTTACCAACACTCATCTGTTGACTCATGTTGAAAAGTTAAATATCCCAGCGAATGTTTCAAATACCGAATATAATTCATAAACTTGGACATCAGTTTATATGCTATCTGAAACCTCATTTTTCGGTCTAATTTGGTTTCACATGTTCTAACAGTATATTCAATCTTGTGATTTTCGGCATGGCAACAAACATATATTAAACTTGCCTATTAAATCACACAGGCAATAAATAGAACTGTTTGTTTGGTATATTGTGCTTTGTTTTATCAAATCCAAGCAGGTGATCATGTCTGTCCTCAGTCACACATTTTAGGGACCAACATTAGCAATTCTTCACAACCTAGTTCAATGAACCTATGCAATGTTTCATGCTGCTTGAATTCTCCACCAAATTGGATGCAGTCCATTTTCGGTAATCTAATCACTCTCCTGATTGGTCAATTGCTGGACACTTGTATCCAATCAAATTATACTTTACTGCTGGTGATAGAACTAGAAATCAAAATGATGTTTCCAGTTGTATTGTAACTGGAGCTTAGACATAGTCTGCACTTAGAAGTGGCGAAGGTGTTCTTTTATTAGAAATACAAAGTGAACAACCATTTACAAATATTCCATTTTGAGAATGGTGACTGGCAAATAGACTTTAGTGGACAGACTTTGTCTTCCATTTAAGTCAAGGTTGTCACACCATTTCGTAACATTTTTTATCAGTTCCACTGCCTTTGAATGTGTTGTATTTTATCTTATGTACATTTCAATTGTCACTCCAACATTCTCTGTCCATTTAAACATTATTCAATTGTTGCCTCATGTAACATGCTAATCAGGGTGTTGTATTGATTTCATTGTTATCATCTAAACTGCCAAATTTTCTAAATTTGTCTAGCTTTATTTAGCAGGGGAATATATTCAAATAAAAATATTGTAAATTCTCTGATGAATAATGTACTGAGCATGTGCATTCTGGATAAACCGAGTACAACATTATTCATATTATTCACGTCTTGTGCCACAAATCAATCTCATTTTATAGGCATTTTAGTGAATTGCAAATACTGCAATTTTCATTTTCTTCACTCATTCTAGTTCTCATGTTGACTTTGTCTAAAAACATGCAATGATTTTTGTGCTCATCAGTAACATTAAACAGATGGTTCACAATAGGTCGCTCAAGTCAATATTTACCCTTTTCGCAATTGGTAGCTCAAGTCAATATTTACCTGTCTCACAATTGGTAGCTCAAGTCAATATTTACCTGTCTCACAATTGTAGCTCAAGTCAATATTTACCTGTCTCACAATTTATAGCTCAGGTCAATATTTACCTGTCTCACAATTGGGAGCTCAAGTCAATATTTACCTGTCTCACAATTGGTAGCTCAAGTCAATATTTACCTGTCTCACAATTGATAGCTCAAGTCAATATTTACCTGTCTCACAATTGGTAGCTCAAGTCAATATTTACCTGTCTCACAATTGGTAGCTCAAGTCAATAGTTACCTGTCTCACAATTTATAGCTCAGGTCAATATTTACCTGTCTCACAATTGGGAGCTCAAGTCAATATTTACCTGTCTCACAATTGGTAGCTCAAGTCAATATTTACCTGTCTCACAATTGGTAGCTCAAGTCAATATTTACCTGTCTCACAATTGATAGCTCAAGTCAATATTTACCTGTCTCACAATTGGTAGCTCAAGTCAATATTTACCCTTCTCACAATAGGTAGCTCAAGTCAATATTTACCTGTCTCACAATTTATAGCTCAGGTCAATATTTACCTGTCTCACAATTGGTAGCTCAAGTCAATATTTACCTGTCTCACAATTGGTAGCTCAGGTCATTATTTACATGTCTCACAATTGGTAGCTCAAGTCAATATTTACCTGTCTCACAATTGGTAGCTCAGGTCAATATTTACCTGTCTCGCAATAGGAAGCTCTGGTTCACATTTTACTGGCTCACTGGTGACTGGCTTGGAAGCACAGGCAAATTGAAAATGCACTAATCCAGTACTGGAAACTTGTTTAAACATGGCTGTGGTGATAAATTTTGATTTCAAAAATCATTGCATGTATTAGTCATACATTTTAATACAGTGTGCAATATATTCATGTAGAAGGACTCTGCATTTTCAAAACTATGGATTAATTTTCAAAATGCGGGTTATTTTTAGTCAGGTTATCAATTCCTGCAACCTCTATTTTATTAGCTGTGTGCTGTTTTACGTTACATGATAATATTCTTTATGGTGAATGAGGGAAGGTTTCAATAAAAACTTTTTTGAGCTTGAAATGCAAGTTGTCTGTTTCTTATTTTAGCCTATGTGTTGATTAAATAAGGACTCTAATACCATAACCATCAGAAAATAGCCCTGATAATTTAAATACTTGTTTGTATACAATGGGTTTCGTGAAGATATGAATTTGATTTTGTATATAACATTTTTAAATGTTTATAAATTTCAAATGAGAATTGAAAAAAACTTGACCAATCCTCAGACTAGTAATACTAGTCTGAGACCAATCACAACAAGCCTTAATGGATGAATACTGCCAATAGAACGCCACTGCAGTCAGTTAACCCTTAACTTCTTCTTTGACACTGACTCGCTTTGCAATAGGTGATTTTCCGTTCAACTGCGAGATCTCGCGAGATGTATTAAAGACACGCCTCGAACATCTGCAGCAAAAATCAAACGATTTGATTTTGAACTTCTTTATTTCGTAGCTCACATCGACTGGCCG